ACGATGTGCAACTCACAAACTCAGTGAATAACTCTCAGCCTTTAGTTGCAGCACAAACATTGTGTGATCAGTATAGTAGCTTTAATATTAATTATATTAATCAGGTAACAGGTACTGGAATGGTATTGTTCTCGATTTATGTCAGAATTGATTGTTTAACTTTGGTCGTCTCCTGCAGTTCATTTGATGTCTTTATTATAAAGATTTTCATTTAACATTGTTCAGGTTGTTGACAGTGTATGTATGGTAGGTAATTTTTATTGTCTTGTTTATTATTGTTTCTTGTGTAAATGGTGTCATTGTTTAATCAATGAATCATAATTTTTATGCTTGTAAGGAAAATATTTGGTTTTTTGTTTGCTTTCTTTCACACCATGGTCACATTTTTCATGTATTTATTTATTTTGTTGTTGTTGTACTTCTCTTTGTTGATTGTATGCCCTTTATTTTGCTAAAGCTGAAAGCCGAAAGGAGCAAAACACCAGTAAAAAATAGCATAAAGATCAAAAGAAGAACAGTAGCTAAAAGTATGCTGAATCAGAGACCAATGTTTTTGAAAAATAAATAAATATATCAATGTATCAATTGATATATATATTGATATCAATATATCAATGTACAAAATATTTATAAATAACATGCAAGTATGAAAGTTACAAAAAAAAGGTCATAGACTTTTCCTGAATGAGCTTAATGTTTTTTTTTTTTTTTTTTGCTTAAAGGGCATAAAATTAGCTAAAGTAATTAGTTTGCAAAAACATTACCACATTAAAAATATCCTAACCTTAATAGGTTATGATAACCCTGTCATGCTGTGGATAAAAACCAGTTAAAGTTTTAATTTTCGACTTTTTTCTTGGACGTGAACGTAGCACCGGTTAAATCCCTCCCCGGATTTGGCGAACACGCGCGCACCTTGTGCTTGTAAACAGAGGCTCACACGTGACATCGAGATCAGAGCTGGCGACCGCATTGTCTGATCGGACAAAGAACAGCCCTGAGCGCGAGCGTCGGCCAGGTGAGCGGCCAGGTGATATGACAACCGAGGTTTTTTACAGCAACATGAAGTCGACTCCACTCTTTTTGTGGGACCGCGGTGCCGGGACGGGTTCGGTGGTTTGAACTGGGTGTTTTAATCCCATATCCGACCGCTTGAGGGTTAACGACCTTCGCTGCGTTTTGGGTCGCTCGCGAGCAGCTGGGTTCACAGCCTTTGTTTCGGCTCTAAATTCAATGAATCTTTTGTTTGGTGTTTTAAGCTAATGTTAGCTGTCGTTAGCTAACATTAGCATTTAACCTTGTTTGTCGTCAAAAGAGATTTGTTTTCTCTTCGACGTTCAAGTGCTTTTTTGAAACTGGTTGGATGAGATGTCATTCGCCATGGAGGATAACTTGGAGTCCGGATGGGTGTCGGTCCGGCCCAAAGTGTTCGACGAAAAGGAGAGGCACAAATTTGTTTTCATCGTGGCCTGGAACGACATTGTGGGAAAGTTCGCCGTAACCTGCCACAACAGAACTGTTCAGAGACGAAGCACTTTCCTGGATCTGGACTCTGACCCCGCTGCTGAAAAGCACTCAGGAAGTCCGAACAGAGCGAAGAAAGACGGGACCCGCCAGGCGGGCAGAGCTGGACCGCATAATTCTGTCCCCGAGGGCGCAAACACAAGAAGTCCTGGAGCTGGAGACAAAACCAGTGCTTTCCAGTGTCACACACTGGGGTCCTGGGACGTAGTGACAACCAAGGCGGGGCTGGACATGGAGGTCCTGGAGGCCGCGGATGTCCCGCTGTCTCCCGAAGACCCAGCGGACGGTGAGCCCAGCGGCCGGGAGGACTTCAGCTGGGCCGGGCTGTTCTCCTTCCAGGACCTGAGAGCCGTGCACCAGCAGCTGTGCGCCGTCAACTCGGACCTGGAGCCGTGCTTGCCCTCGTTCCCGGAGGAGCAGTCCGGCGTGTGGACGGTCCTGTTCGGAGGGCCCGGCATGTCGCAGCGGGAGACGGAAGCCGTGTGCTACCAGCTGCAGGTGTACCTGGGCCATGCCCTGGACACTTGCGGCTGGAGGATCCTCTCCCAGGTGCTTTTCTCCGACAGCGACGACGCGGAGGAGTACTACGAGAGTCTGGGTGAGCTGAGGCAGAAAGGCTACGAGGATGCTCAGGAGGCGGCCAAGAAACGCATGCAGGAGGTAAAGATCTTACAGTTTATTGAATAAAAAATAAATAAAAAAGCCAATCAACCAGCAGAGATCTGGCCTTTATTCACCCCAAAAAATTTTCAGCTTACATCTTTATTTTCTCGTGTGTCTGTCTACCTGTTAGCAAAATATCTCAGGAACTACTCAAATTATTTGAAAAACACTTTTTTATTAGCTGTACCCATAACCCATAGTTTTAAAGGGATCCACGATTAGTTGTAACATTAAACTTTATTTGATAAACATTTATTTTAACTGTAAAATAAAGACTAAAAATACTGTAGGCTGTTTAGTTTGTAATTTTTTAAAAATATATTTTAACATGGACGGAGCCATTTTATTTACACGCAAAGCATTCTGGGTAAATGATGACGTCAACTAGGTCATTGGTGCAAGGTTGCTAGCGAGCTATATCCACCAATATAGCTCTTTATCTGACGATTGGCTCTTTTAAATGAAACCAGAGAGCGTTGACAGAGAGGAGAAGGTAGAAATGACTCAGCCTTTAACTGAAAATATGGATGGAGGACCTCAGCTTAGCCTGTTAGCTTTAGCATTAGCCCTGACGCTATATTGCCTTATATGTATTAGCTCGGAGCTAGCGCGACAAACAAGCTAAATTGAGGTCC